ACGGTCGATCTTTCTGTCAGCAATGCTTCTTGATTGTGTGCGGGCTCCTTTAGATAGCTTTTATGGACAGTGGAAAATCGATACGTTACGGGAAAATCCGGTCTGTTCATCGGTATACGTAATGACGCGATGTAATTTATGGATAGAGGACGACGACTATCGAACATCACAAATGGAAAGGGATACGAAGAGTGAGGTTTATTGCCTGATTTTTCTATGTACGCGGATTGTTTACGAGCCATAGGTGAATATGATTATCGGTTTTCTCGACGATCGAGTACAAATTTTACGATAGATTTGATAAGAGCGGACGAAGAACGACGAAACACGGAATCGACGTGTACATCCATGGGTATCGCGTGGGCGGCTATTTGCCTATTTACCCAGATCCGATGGGAAATCGAAATTAGAAATCAGAAAGATGTAGGTGCTGACTGGTGATTTCCAGCCACGTGAAATCATACCCCGTGCGATCGTGGAACCGTTCGAGTGTCATAAATTCCGTTCGACGCGCAAGAACGAAGGATGACTCCTTCGTCGATCCTACTTTTCCACCTGTCCCAGTTTTCACATTTCTGCTGAATTCGAGATTCAGCTGCATCGTTATTGTCGTGATTGCGTGATCCGTTCGACTCGTCGAATCATCGAGAACGCGTCCAAATTGCGTGTACGAAATCACGTTTGCTCCTGCATCGAATATACCTGCGAAATTCAATTCAGTTGAAATTCAAGTTAAAATATTGTAAACTATTTCCATCGGCACGAAAGGTCGTCGCACTCGTGTTCTACCATTAACGAGAAACAATTCCATGCGAGCTATTGTTTCTGGAGTCAACGAATTAATCATTTCTTAATAAATTTTTGTATTCGCAAAATTTCCTTTAATTAGCATCCAACGCGACACCCAGCAGGTGGCTGTCTACCAAAATCCCACGCTATCTGATACGACATCCCATGTAGAAGGGAGGAATGTCTTCCACGACGAAACGTGTCGGTTTATCCAACCGGTGTAGCCGTTAAATCACTCGAATCCTGCAATATATTCGAGCATCAACGTATCTCTAACGAGCCTATCCCTATCGTCCTCTTGGCATCGGCCAGGAAAATCCGACAAGCAATCAAACGACGAAAGATTCCACGGCTACCAAAGGCAGGCGACGAGGCAACCGACCAGCCACGATAGCCACGATGGAATCCACGACTATCGGAAGCGATCGCGAAATCTTCGAGCAATAATTCACCCCCTCGTCCCCTTCGTCTCTTTCTTTCTATCGTTCCATCGTCTCTCTGTTCCCCGTGGCAACGCTGGCCCGTTCGACAGCGATGTTCTCGTAGACTTCGGCAGAAGACCACGCTGCCGCCGCATCGTCGAACAGTTAATGCTCGCATAATACGTGCACGCCGTGGTGGCCGCAAGGGGGGACAGGTATTGTTACTAGTTTACGTCCCGTTATTTTCTTGCAGTTGACAGAAATTCCTTAAAGCGCAAAGGTGACTGCGCTATCGACGAATCTGCCGGCTTTTGCGCAAAAATCTAACGCTTTTATGCCAGCTCGGATCGTTGACCTCCTGCGCGCATGTACTCGACGTACGAGTTTTCACGATTAAAACGTTTCGCGGAAAAGGAGAAGGATTTATTAATAAATTGCAATCGTCGACGAGAAATTCGACGGGGGAAACTCGTTGCGGCGATTGAAATCTCGAGAGCCGCGTTTAATTACCGAGCCGGTGCAAGTGGAAAGGGATTAAAACGTAAACGTCAAAACGAAGATAGGGCAGAAGGGCGAGGAGACGATGTATCTCTGGTGGGCCGCGAACTCTTTACACACAATTACGCGTGTACCGGGTGAACCGATGAGAGAAATATTGCGCCGCGGCGTGGCGCACGTCGTGGCCGGTGCATGCACGATGCATGCAGTTTACCGGTACCAGCGGTAATATCGCATCGCGAACAGCCGGCAGAGAAGAGAGGATAGGTCGAGATTAGTTCCGATTGCCTGTGCCGCACAGAGTTATAGAAGGGTTGCCCGGCTTCGGCCAGGCATCGATCCCGGCTACCGGCTTCTGCCCGTTAATGAGTCATGTTTAATTGGCGTGGGAAGACCATGGCTACGTTCACGTAACGGAATTGAACTGTACCCGATGCAACAGCGCTTCCAACAACGTAAATATACCAGCACGCCGCCGATTGACCTTATGTACACGTGGACACTGGATGGCAAATAATTCAACGAAAAAATTCTTAATGAGCAGCAAATCGTCAGGTGATTAATCGATCACCAGGCAAACGTTTACATTTGCCGGAGAGAAGAGAGCTGGAAGATTTAAAATCGCAATTACCTCTCGATTCACGATCAACGTGGCCCCCTGTTTACTACGAGAATCGTAATAGAACGATCGTCGTGCTTACTTTTTCCATATTACGTTTTCTGTGTCGTTGCACATAAACGCATACGCGTCTATAATTATTTATTTTCTAGCTAGTCCATACATGTATATATATGTATAAATAATGAAACTTAGGAAACGTTAAATACTCGAGCAGCATCAAAATGTTCCATCACATAGCCATTTCGCAGGTGTCGCGATCATATTCCAGGCACGACTGGCCTGGATGCTGCTTTTCGCAAGAAGCTACAGTTTTACGGCTACCTTGACGACAGCCAGGCATTCACCATCAAATCGCGATTTCTCAGGCAACAACGATTTAACGCGAGGCATTCACGGACCTCAGATACGAGCACAACGACGAGGACGAGTAGAAACGTTGTGTGTCGCGGCAGATGGTACGCGACAGGCCATTTCAAACGATTACTGTTACGCGAGAGCTTCTCTCTCGACTCTCTGTTAGGCAGGCCCAACTATACCGGTATGCAAATAAATGGCATCGAGCGGACGCGTTTAAAAAACGTACAATACGCTTGCGATACGCGGCGACGACGCGTGCTACGGGCCATTGTCTCCGAGTCTAATCACGACCGCGTGTGCATTTACGAGCCACCGGTTAGACGGACGTGTAGCCTCCGGAGAAAGACTACCTTTTGCGAGAGGCGGTTCTCGTATTCTCTGCGTTACCGCGCCACGTAGTAATATGCATCGCGAATACCAACACGGAGTCACACCCATCATAGAGCCCGACCCTGTGGGTGGCGCCACGTACTCGCAAATAAGTCCTACGAATAAGTCGTAAGGCCATCATCCGCGTTGCGTCTCCGTCGCAACCGACTATGAATATTCTCTCCTACAGCTAGATATAATGCGCTCTTTGTGCTATGTTTCCTTTTGTGCCTGGTAATCTAACCTCCGCGGCGATTTTCCGACGCATAACGACGCGTTAGATCAGCGGAATAATTCACTTTGATTCGAGGACTCGTTAAATTTTACCCCAGTACTTGCCCGAGGAAGTTATGGTTAATACTACGCTATCCGCCGCCAGCCAGTTGACCTCTCGTAGAATTTTCAAAGAACGAGATAGATACTAGTAGTAGAATCTCTGTAACGGGGCACCATGGTGCGCTTTCTATTTTATGATAGAATCTGATTACCTAAAGTGTTTTGGTCGATGACATTCGTTTTAAAGAAATTGAGAAACGCTGGTAGCCAACAGAATTTTCGAGAACACGCGCGCCTATCATAGATAACCACCGTGACGGTGAACGTTTAACCGCTGATACCGAATTTTAGAAACTTTGGTCTTTAATTATACATTCGTCTCGCGCAAATTCCAACTGCCACGATTATCGTAAATCACCGTTCACCCGTACGGAACGTGATAAAACGAAAAAAAGTTAAGCTACGAATGAAATCACCGCAAGAAAGTGTCAAGGCGTCTGGTAGCGAGGTTCATTGGCGCGCTCCAAGTCCTTGTACGATCACGTTCCTAAATCGACACCTCGCTTCGCGATCTCGCCGCTAATCGTCCTTCCGCGAGTGACGTGCTGACATACCGCGGTTCTTGCTAACAACCCCGACGGACCCTATTAGTAGCCCATATATACATATATATAAAAGTATACGGTGATCTGGCTTCTCGACGCACGAGGCCGGCATCGCGATTTGGGTGCCATCACGTACCGCACGGAATCGAGCGGGTTTCCATTCGCGGCCAATCGACACGCGCTTCCCGCGGTTCGATACCGATCTCTGATCGTGATCGCTACCTCGCCGCGTAAACAAATGGAGATCGCTCGCGAACAGACTACGATCGTACGCCTAACTGGAAAAATTGATCGGACACGTTCGTGGGAAGGTTGAAGTACGACGTGGCTTCTTGAACTTGCCGTAATGCCACGCGGAAGGTTGCGGATTCTCGTGAGAGAGAATACGAATTATTTCGCGATACCCGAAGACACGGCCGTAATTAGCGCGATGAGTTTACGTATCAGATTTGATACAGGTATGTACAGGTTGAGAAAATTCTAAAACGCTCCCGGGTTCTTATCGCGCGCGAGAAAATCGGCGAAGAAACATTGTGTTCTTAGTAAAGCAGTCTCGTTAAAAATGAAATAAGTCGTTTAGTTTCCACTTGCTTTAAATTCAATTAATTTTACGCGGGATTAAAGCGAGCGGTATTATCGACGTAAAATAAGATACAAATAAAATAAAATAAAATAAAGACCGTCTTATTTACTGTCGTCAAGCGTGATATGTAATTTGCAAATTGCAACTTCAACTTGTTAAGTCGGACTTCAAATGTACAACCCGAACTCGTCAAACTATTCCGGTTAAGTTATTCAGATTGATACGAATCTACCATTAGATACTACGTGTATAGACAACCCGCTTGCGTAACGTTGATATTCGCATACGCGAACCCTACAGATTTACCAACCTTCTACACCGCAAAATAATACAGAGTGGATGAATATCTTCGTAATATATTCAATCTGTAGATGTTATCGTTACTTAAAGCCGGAACAAAGTCTCCGGTTTGTTTGCACGCGACTATTGTACAAGGAAAAGAAGGAAGAACGCGTAAAACGTAAGAAAAGCTAACATACCTCCCTAGACGTTGGTGCCCCCAGGACGCAGGGGCTGTCCGGGCGGCGGGGCGCACTGGCCCACCGCTTGCTCGAGAGCTCGCTCTCATCCTGAAACAATAAACGTGACCTGTAATTAGACAAGACGAAGGTAAAGGTGATAGGCGGTCAGACTTGATGAGCGCTATTATAGCAATCGTAATGGGCCCCTTGGAAACCAAATTGCTCTTCGCAGAAAATTAGATAGAGAACAATGGAACAAAGAGGAGCGGAGAACTTGCGATTTCATCGTATTCTACGCGAAAAACCAACATTTTTGCTCCAGTAATCTACAAATTCTGTAAATACTGATAGAAGTACATATCTCCGTATCAGTCGACGCATTGCACGCGGTGTGATTGTACGTGTAAAATATTCGAAGAACGCAAATCTTGTACCTTTTATCGATCCTACGACTACGTATAAAATTCGGATGATTTAAACGTAATTGAAGGTTGTTGCGGTTTTCCATTAAAACACCGTGCTTCATACGTGGCGAATAGCAATAAGAGAATGTCCGTTAGACAGATCGATATTCCATCGCGTTTATTCATACGTAAATTTCCCAGTTTCATCGTACGACTGCCGATAGGCATAAAAACTGCAATGTGTATTCCGTTTCGTTTTACGACACGACGTATGCCACAGCTTTTTCCTACTCTGCGGAGAGTACATCGTTGTCGTTGAAGAACGTACGGGTTGCTTCGTGCGGTCACTCTCTCGAATGGATGCAGCTGCGCGACGCAACGCGAGGAAAAGACGGGTAAACGCGGTGCCATGCCGGGCGCAATTTTCCGGCGGCGCCGGCGCGAATCGATGCGAACGCCTCGCAGAATTGCATTCTGCGACGCGATTAAGCTCGTACGCTCGGCCAGGAAACAGCAGGGACGCTCTAATGGGCCAATTACACCGGTCATTTGGAACGAAACGAAAGAAAGGATCGCCGTGGAACGGTGGCAGTCTCGTCGGTTCGCTCGAATAATTAAGATCGCATCTCGCCACGGTGACAACGTAAATCGCTTGCGCGCGAGACTCGGATAGCGATGCGAACAAATGCCGAACGAAGAAATACCAGAGATACCTGACGCAGCTACCTTTCGAATTTTTCATATTATAGGAAACGTATAGGAAGATTCTGTTTCGTGTATTATATAGACTGTGGCCTTTACGACAGAGATATTTCACACTTATTTATAACGCAACGTTAATCGACGCTTCTCGTCATTTGAATTTTCTAAACCGTACATACTAGTTTCTCCACTTATCGATTTCTCGATTAAGAAGTTGCAACTAAGCGCTTCTTTCACATTAACGACAAGCAGAACTCTAGAAATCTTACGTAAGCGAAATCTAAAAGCTCGTAGAACGTCGATGAACGTGTATCCGCCTTGGATAACTAGACTAATAAAGTCGTTTAAAAGCAGAATCGAGTGTTATCCTCTCGAACGGGCAAACATTGCACACCTCACTTATCGCAGTAGAAAGAATTATAAAATACCGTTGCGTTATTACGTAAGCCTTCTACAAAATTAGATAAAGCAGATTCGGCTTTCTTTACGTAACGAATGCACGTTGTCACCCAATTAATAGTAGACGTTATCTACATGCTCAGGTGTCTACGAACATTTCTGGTCGATGGAAAGGCAATCCACTCGACGGTTGTATCTAACGCGGTAAAAATACGTACATTACTTGGATTCATTATATTCGACTGTATTCTGACAGCTAGATGCGTTATTATCCTCTTATTATTATTACATATTGCATTATTACGCAGCAGTTGCAACAGGTCGACGATGTTACGTTTACTTTCGCTAGATTTCTCCTATTTTCCGTAATGCAGTGAGATTACCGCTGAAATTGAATCGGCTCCTTCGGACGCGGCAGTAACGATCCAGACATAGGTGTGTTCTCCGTCCAGACGCATCGATTATGTCAGCGCGGCTCGAAAAGAAAAAAACCTATCCAGCCACCGGCGAATCCATAAAACAATTTCACCTGACGCGAACTCACGACGATTGCGTTGTTATGATCTGGAAGAACGTCGAAGGAATCACGCGTGTCGATACTCCATGCCGATTCCTCGAAATCCTCCTTCGACCACCATATTCAGTAAGACGTCACGATTTTTCTTCTCGTCGAAGGCAATAGCCAACGCGAGCATCGCGGTCAGCGTCGACGATTTCGCAACGAGAGAGTAACAAAGTCGTGCGAGCTACGAAGTTGCGATGAAATCACGAGCTAGCGCGAGAGGGCGCGATTAAACGTAAATGAGACGACCTCTGGTAAAAAACAGCCCTCGAAAAGGAAAATTCGTAATTAACGAGCCGGAGAAGAACGAGCTGATTCGCGTAGACGAGCTGCCTCTTAATTATCAGACCAGACACGGGCGATCTACCTTTATGAATGCAAGCATAAACGCTGGCCGATCGGCACACAGCGCAACACGGAGGCGTGTACGCACACTGACTCTGCTCCGGCCTTCCTCTACTTTCCCACGCCACACGTCTTTAGCTCGCGCTAATGGCAATCGGGAGAGAGCTTTTGAAAGCTCCGCCGGTGGCTCCTGGTAAAAGTCGATCTGCGTAATCCGTTTTCTCGCGTGGCAAACCCCGCACCGATCGACCGTGTGGACCATAAATTACAACTTTCGGTCATAAAAACGAGACTATGAAAGTGATTTGCGGTGAGACGCCAGATACGGCGTTCCGTCTCCGTCGTCTCCTCCCCTGTAGTGGGAAGGCCAGGTGGGGCGGCTTTGAAATAATGTATGAAATCATCGACGAATACGCCGTGCAAACGGCCGCTCTCCATATGCAGCTGTTAGCAATAAGGAGGTGAAACGCTTACCTAACGGACGGGCATTAGCGGAATATTTATAACATTAATCGTCGAACCGTGCTGATTACGCGCTCACATCGCGCCATGGACACCCGCTTCACCGGCCGATCCCCGTTAATCCGATTTCGCCCCCAATCTTCGCGTCTCGTTCTTTCAAGGAACAACATCGAAGATCTCCAACGTTTTTGGACCGGTAGACCGCTGTAGGTACGTGTTTCGTTATCCTGATCACGATGCAAGAATATATCCTTCGTGAAATTTAGGTTGATCTCCGGTGTAACTTATCCCTGATACCTTGTCGTAAATCTCGACCGGTTTTCGAACGTTCAGAGGAAAGAACAAAGCCGTTGACGAACTCGATATCGTATTTGTTACGTGTACTCGATCTCATTGCTAATAGTAGCGCAGACAAAGTGCACAATGAATTGAATAGCTCTCCCACAGCGCTTAATAGCTCCATACTTGGCTGGAATACGCAACTTCTCTAGGAACTCCAAACGTTATTGGCATTGACTACTACGAATCTGTCTGAAACCGTAAACACTGACTAATGATCAGCCATCAATGCCGTTCAACTGCAAGAAGAAAAGGTAGAACGTAAAGAGAGCAGACTGCGTGATTGAGTTAAACGTTTCGTCCATGGAATTCTGCACCTGTTAGCCGGCTACGTTGAAACGCGATCGATTCGGATCGACTGGAGACTATCGATACGAAAGTCGATGATGCACGAAACGCGAAGATTTATACCGGAATACCGGTAATATCCCGAACAGAAATATGGAATGCGCGAGACTACCGTGCGGCAACGCTCGGGTCATTCAATGAAGGAAAACAATGGAGGACTTGATTTACGGGGGCATTACCGACAACCCACGTACATGCTTAGATCTACATATTATACCAATATTCTCGATGTTTACTGGCCGAGCACTACCGCTATCCGCGTACACGATGTGATTCGCATGAGGCTCGCCGCATCTTCCATAACAGTCGACCGGTACGATGTCCCGCACGAATATTCAGAGGTTGCGACGTCTTCCGTGACTGTCCGACAGAACTCTGACGATTCTGTGAATCCTTTCTTAACCTACTATTCTTCGGTTTAACAAATCTTTCGCATAGGAAGCGTTTCTTCAGACTTTCTGTTTGTTATTCACAGAGAAGACAATCTGCTATTATTTTAAACACAGAGAAAATAATTGCAAAATGTGCAATTCTTGTTCCTAGAAGGTGCAGGATCGTTCCAAATGTTACACCGGCTTAGAGTTCCATCGGATCAGACCTTCCGTCCTGCAAGACTGTCGCTTTTCTCGGTCACGTCGCGAGACACTCCGCGTTACATTTGGTACGTTGTTCGAAAGGAAGAGCACGGTGACTTTTTCCCCTTTCGCTTACTCCGCCCACGTGGACAAGATAATAAATCACACGGTATCAAAAGGAAAAAAGACGAACGGCATGCGCGAAGGGAAAGCCATAAACATTGTGGCAGTGCATCGGCACGTTGTATCAAACGTTGAGTCATTGGCGAAACGGGACGGGTCGTAAAACGAAAGAAAAAGAACGGAAGTGAAGCAGGTCCTTGGGACGTAAATCACAGGATGCGGTTAACGCAATAAGGAGGATATAATGATGACATATATCATCGTACTAATAGTAGGACCGCGATACGATCACGCTGCGCGATGGTCGCTAAGAAATGGCCAGAACTGCCCCCCAACCGTGTGGATGCGCCCGATCGTTTCGTACGCTTATAATCGGACGACTCGCCCGGATAATTACATTCGTTAAAATAACTCGGCCTGTCCCGGTGTAACTACATCCGTTAGGCATCGCGGCACTTGAATTTTTCACCGCTATCCATAATCGACCACCGTGCACCAACGTTAAACGTCCTCGGTGAAAATTGTTTCACGAGAATCACTCGATGTGGATGGGCAAAGTTTTCGTAATAAATTTAATCGCTGTTAATAAATTTAACTTTACGTATGTTGCGAAACTTTAATTACTTCGCGGGCGACGCGTTTATGTATTTTCGTGCGAAGGATGACACGCGTCGTGTGTGGTGGAAAATATTTTAAGTTCGCCAAGGCTGACAGTGTCTGCGTTTAAAGAAAAGATACGATCGAATACCTCGAATAAGGTGTGAGAAATTACATTTTTATCGGTAAGGAGAATAAGGATTCAGTTTCGAGAGGATTTGCATACGGGAACCAGGGCCCCGCCAATTATCT